ACGGTGGCTGCGATGATGGGCTCAAGTATAGCAGGGATTGTGGGGCTGGCGCAGGATCGGGCAGCGTTTCGTTCTGCTGTGCATGGGGTCGCTATGAATCGGAAATGACTCGATGGCACTTAACAACAACAACAACATAAATCCCACTTGGTTATGATGTGTTGCTTTTTTGATATGTTGTTAAAGTCTGTTGGCTAGGATTTTGTTGAGAATTTTTGCATCTATGTTCAGGAGGGATATTGGGCTATAATTTTCTTTTTTAATGGTGTCTTTGCCTGGCTTTGGCATCAGGCTTATGCTTGCTTCATAAAATGAATTTGGTAGTATTCCTTTCTTTTTTGTATTCTGGAGTAGTTTGAGTAGAATTGACATCAGCTCTTCTGTCAGTGTTTGGTAGAATTCTCCAGTAAAGCCATGTGAGTCACTACTTTTTTTTTGTTGGTAGTATTTTTTATGACCTGTTCAGTTTCGTCTTTTGTTATGTGCCTGTTGACATTTTCTACCTCAGTCTGTATAATTTAGGTAGGTAGTATGTTTCTCAGAATATGTTTATTTCTTCTATGTGGGTTGTCTATTTCAGCTATTTTATCGTTAAGCTTCTGAATTTCTAGTTTTTATGTGGTTTCTGTTTCTCTATTGAGTTTGTCATTTTATTCTTGTATTATTTTCCTGAATTCTAGGTTTTTTCTGCGTTTTCCTTGATCTCTTTGAGGAGCTTAAATATTAATCTTTTGAACTCTTTGCTGGGTAGTTCTGTTATCACTTCTTCCTTAGAAAGGTTTTCTGTCCCTTTATTTTGCTCATTTGCTTGAGCCTTCTTATCTTGCTTTGAGACATTAAGGTTCTGTTTTATTTGTTTATGTATTTCTTAATTGATTGTACATTTCTCTGTCTTTTATGTATTATTTTGATATAACTGGAGCTTAGCTTTTTCCCTTTCTCTTTATATTGTCTACTGTCCTTTGTATTGTTTTAATTGATACTGCTTTGGTCAGTGTATGATCTGTGATGCTGCCGGTTGCTTGGGAGTGATTTTCTGTCATTGGTGGATATAATGGGTTACATACACATAGGAGTCCTCTGTCATTGGGCATGTATGTCTTCCCTCATAGACTTAAATGGACGTATATGAGCAGGACTCTTCCTTGTGGTGGGACTCCAGGTGTCAGGTTGTCAGGAGCCTTCCACAGCTCTTGTGGGGCCATACAGAACTTCCATGATGGCATGTGCTGTTAGGGCGGCCTCTGGAGAGCAGGACAGGTTGTCTTTACAGACCCATAGATGGAGTATACCTCTAATGGATAAGGCAGGCCCTCTGCTTTGTTATGCATTGGTGTCCTAGTGACGGGGGAGGGCTAAGGGTCTCTGCATTTGTTCAAACTGACGTGAGTGAATCAGAAGAGTGGTCAGGTTGGTGGGGGTGCCATGCTTCGTGGGCTGGGTGGGGTTCACAGTGGCCTTGGGCTGGGCAGAGTGAGTGGTGAGTAGAGAGAGCTGACTGAGTGTCTACTTTGCATAGACCAGGTGGAGCACATGGTATGCTTGTGCCCAGTGGGAGAAGTGATGAACAGTTCTCTGGCGTTCCTTACTGCATGGGCCAGGCTGAGAGGAGTGATGGGCATGTTTTGGGGCTCCTTACTGCACAGGCCAGGCTGTGTGAGGGGAGCAGTGGATGTATCTCCAGCCTCTCACTGTACATGCACGGCCGGGTAGGGAGGTGGTGGTGGACGTGTCTCTGGGCTCCTTGCAACATGGCCTGGTGGCAGGAGCTGTGGGCATGTCTCTGGGCTCCTCTCTATGTGGGCTGAGTGGAGGGAGCAGTGGATGTATGTAGTGTTGGGTGAGTTCCTGAGGGTGCCTCACTGTGCAGGTGATAGGGGCAGGAGACTGCTCATATGGGAAGGGAAGGGGGATCAGCAGAGGGCTAGTCAAGGGAGAAACTTCCGATTATTACTCTGTTGTTTCACTATTCAGGCAGGATGTCTCCTGCCCCAGTGGATGTGCAGCACTGCTGATAAGAAGTCCTGGGTTTCTAATCTCTCCCTTCTCTGCGTTCACCAGGGACTCTGAAGTTCTTGGCCACTTTCCTGCATTCTCTCTTGTTCTTCCACAGAATTGCACTCCTTCTCTTATCAGTCTTTTGTCCTGAGGCTCCAATGACTTGGTTTGCCCCACTCTGTATTGCGGCATTTCCCTAGGTTCAAAGCTATGGGACTCCCTTATGTCTCCTTCTCAAGCTAGTTTGGTCCCAGCATACAACCTGCTTTATAAGTCTTATTTCTTTCTAGATTCATTCACTGAGTATCTCTGCTTCCATTTGTGTTTTCTGTAAAATTTCCTTCCTGGGTTCCTTGCCTAAGGATGTTGTTTTCTGCCCTCTTAACAGTAGAAATAGACATATTTTGAGAAACACACTAGATTATACAGACTGATGCTAAATTATACAGACTGAGGTAGAAAATGTAAACAGGCACATCACAAAAGAAGTAACTGAACAGGTCATAAAAGATACTACCAACAAAAAAAATTAGTGGCTTCACTAGAGAATTCTACCAAACACTGACAGGAGAGCTGATGCCAATTCTACTCAAACTACTCCAGAATATAGAAAAGGAGGGAATACTCCCAAATTCGTTTCGTAAAGCGAGCATAACCCTGATGCCAAAGCTGGCTGGGCATGGACTCTGGAAATCTCTACATTCCTGCTGGTTTTGTTCTAACTCTCTTTCTAGTTGTTGCTAATTCAGTTCTTCAGCCTTCTCTTTGATGTTCAGGGATCTAAGTTTCATTGTTTGTATTTGTTTTCACTTGGTTTCTCAAGTCTTTGTTGTAGGGGAGCATTAAGGTTCTTCTTCATAAACCACCATCTTCTTTCTCCTCTGGAATGCTTTTCTTCATTTCCTTTTTGGATTGTTCATAGCTAGTATATAAAAATAAAAGTTTTCTCGTTTTATCAAAGAGGAATCACCTACATAACCATTTCTTTCTTGCCCTCTGTCCCTTCCCCCTGATCAATTTAAATAGAATTCTGAAGATTATACTGAGTATTATTTATGGCAGAAGGTCCCCATATCCTCTTCACAACCCTTAATAGCTGAGTTAATTGATGTGCCTTTGTGCCTTAGATCCCCCTGTGCTCACCTCCATTCCCTACCAGCCTGCAACCTTCTTGAGGGCAGGGATGCTGTTTGTTACCTGTTCCATCATCTGTTCAGCAATGCCTGTGTCCATGTACTAGGCACAGTTCTGGGTGCTGGGTACTGCTCAGTGAGCAAGGCAGGTGGGAGTACCCAAATTCATGGAGCAGTTGGGAACATGGACATGGACTTCATTCTAGCTCAATAACTGTTTCCCATCAGAGGAAGAGAAAGAATGGATGTGTTGGGAGTGTTAGGCTGGGTGGACTAGTTAACATGTAACCAATTTTCTGCTCTGTGAATGAGGGGATTGGACTAGAAATAAATTATTATTAAAGTTGTATTAGCTTGAGTCAGAAGTTGGAGACTTTGGGAAGCCAAGTGGAGGTCTTCATCCTTGCTCTAGGAGATAAGTCAATAATCTTTATAAATTAAACAGGCAAAGTTAGGAGAAGAGTGATGCTCAAGGAGAAATCCTTGGGCATGGTGGTCCAAAGCCAAGATGTTAAATAATTTTAAAGGTGTAGATAGGTATTTTGTGTTAAGGTATACTGTTGGCCCTCTGTATCCATGGGTTCCACATCCATGGATTCAAGCAACCACAGATCAAAAATATTTGGGGGTTGGGGAAGCGACTAAGTGGTCAAAGCAATCCTTTGAAGACTAAGAAGGAGTATAAAGTGCTGTTTACATAGCAATTATACTGTATTAGGTATTGTAAGTAATCTAGAGATGACTTAAAGTATATGGGAGGATGTGTATAGGTATATGCAAATATTATGTCATTTTATATAAGGTATTTGAGCAGATTTTGGTATCTGCATCGGGTTCCTGGAACCAGTCCTCTGCAGATGTCTAGGGGGGTACTGTACCTAAAATGAGTAGTTTTCTTGCCCCTGTGTATAATTTAAAATCTGTCATGATCATCTTCCCCTAATATCTGATTCTTTTGCCAAGCAGTGAAAATGGCAGCTCTAGTAGAAGTGTTTTGAAACTAGAACAGTAGTCACAATGTTTACTTCTTTTCTTCCAAAGGCTTAAGCTTAAATTTAAATTTTATTCATTATTAACTTATAATATTGATCTTAGCTTTGAAAGAAAGATGGAGTCTCTTTCATATCCCAAAACCTGCTATCTGCAAAGATATCTGAGCCCATATCTCTTCCTGACGTAGGCAACTCAAGTCACAGGAGAGTGTTTTTCTTTCTCTCTCTAGGTTATGGCTTCCAGCTTCCTGAATCCAAGGCTCCAGTGGAGGAAATGATTGTTCAGGGATCTAGCTCCTGGTTGATTACGGAAACTGACCCTTCATAGAGTGTGAGCTTACTGAGAACAGGAAAGTTTTTTTGTCTTGAAGGGCTTTAAATTTGGAACAAAAAATAAAAATGACGACTTCATCTATCAGACGGCAGATGAAGAACATTGTGAATAATTACTCAGAGGCTGAAATAAAAGTCCGGGAAGCCACCTCCAATGACCCATGGGGCCCATCCAGCTCCCTGATGACGGAGATTGCAGACCTGACCTACAATGTGGTGGCCTTCTCAGAGATCATGAGTATGGTATGGAAACGGCTTAACGACCATGGCAAGAACTGGCGGCACGTGTATAAGGCACTCACACTACTGGACTACCTAATCAAGACAGGCTCTGAGCGGGTGGCCCAGCAGTGCCGTGAGAACATTTTTGCCATCCAGACACTGAAGGACTTCCAGTACATTGACCGTGATGGCAAGGATCAGGGCATCAATGTGCGTGAGAAGTCCAAGCAGCTGGTGGCCCTGCTTAAGGATGAGGAGCGGCTGAAGGCCGAGAGAGCTCAGGCTCTCAAAACCAAAGAGCGTATGGCCCAGGTTGCCACAGGCATGGGCAGCAACCAGATCACTTTTGGCCGTGGCTCCAGCCAGCCCAACCTCTCTACCAGCTACTCAGAGCAGGAGTATGGCAAGGCTGGGGGCTCGCCAGCTTCCTACCATGGCTGTGAGTACTCATGGAGCTCCATCCCTTGCCTGAGCACTTACTGTACAGAAACAGCTGTGCTGGGCCACAGGTGGCTGGGTGCTCTGGGTTGAGGGTGGCAGCCACTGCAGAGCTTCCAGGGCCCAGACAACATGCTTCTTGGTTTAGGTGGAGTTGTGGCAATAAAGGGGTCTTCAGTTTGTTGGCTGGGCTGGCCAGGTGTCCTCTGATGTCCTGGGCTGCTTCATAGATCTGATTCTGTACTTGTGGGAAGGGGCTTGTACCAGCAGGGGGAGGGTGGACAAAGATGGGATCTAGCAGAATCTGAGGAGGGATCTAGAGCAGAGGGGTTGTCTTGGTGCACAAGTATTTAAATAGTTCGACTGTTTGGTAGCTAGGAAGAAATGACTGCTTTTTCTTAATGATCTTTTTTCTTTAATCTTGTATTAAATGTGTTTCTGATGACTGAGCTGCAGGTCTCCTGAATGCCTCAGTGTGTTACTCTACTTCAGCACACAGGGTGGAGAATGGATGTCTCTGTCTAACATAAAAGGGAAACAGCCAAAAACCTCTACAGGTTATTAGAGTGCTCAAGGCCTCCTTTTTAAAAATGCACACGGGAGCTCTTGGTGATGTGGTTGCATGGCTGAGTCTGCATTGGGTGGGTTGTCTGTTCTGTTTTTGCATGTTGGATTTCTTTGGACCTTTGCCCCAAAATTCTCTTTTCGAAATAGATTTCAGGGAACGGAAGTGGAGTTCAGGGGCTGATGGAGCTGTTTCTATTCTGTAAGCCACATTGAGCATCATGGCTGTTGGCTGAGAGTGATCCTGGGAATGGGTTCTCCTTCCTCTTCACAGCCAGTTCTGTGCTCTGGGGATAAGCGGCCCTAGCCACCTGTGGAGGATGGAGGTTGCTGAAATAGTGTCACCTGACTGGACTAAAGTGCAAATTCCCACACCCCTAAACCATTTATTTTTAGAGTCAGTGATATACTTGTCAACAAAACAGAAGAAAAATTTTTTTAAAAAAGGAAGTTCTTAGTAGTTTGATGAAACCCTGTCAATCCTTGCTTAGTCAATAGTTCTGTTACCAGACACTTACTAATGTTTCCTCTCCTCTGGCAGGTTTCGATTTGACATACCACAATTACCAGCATTTTGAGAAGTAGGTCAAATAGGTGATTTGCATATTAAAGTCAAATTTCCTACCCCAAGGAATTTTACATTGTCATTAAGCTTAGATCAGGTTAATGCTTTCTTGTCCCATTTCTAGTAATTGTCACATTTTTTCTCAATTTAACTCCTCTACTTAAGCAGAAACCCCTTGAAAAAAAATTTAAACTTAATCTCTGGAAGTCTTCTTCTGGGTTAAGTTGAACCAAAGAATGAAGATGGCCCTTTAAATGAAACTGTCTTATCTCAAGGACTCTTTTTCCACCTACTCAGGAAAAGCTTTCTCTGGGCATTGGTCCTGCTGTCTGGTGAGGGGAGCATCTCTTCAGATGCCTTCTGTGCTCGTTAGTCTCACAAAGCCAGGAGATACAAAGAAGGAGCTGATGTAGCATCACATTTCATAAATTGCGTGTGGTACGTTCCCAGTACAAGAGTTTGGGGTCTGGATAGGCCCTCGTCCTCATGCCAACCTGGGCTTGTGGGCACAGCTCTCACTGGGCTTCTCCTGGGCCACATGATGCTTCCTTGGTTCCAGCTGTAAGCACTCTGGCTCCCTCAGACCTCGTGCTCCAGCTGTGTCTTCAGGTGGAGGGGTGTCGCCAGTGGCTGTGGGGGTGGCAGGCCTTGGAGTAGCCTGCCCCCTGTGTGTCCTATTGCAGAGGCTGCTGCAGTCCTCTAATGGCATGTTTCTCTCTTGTGTGTGTGTGTGTGTGTGTGTGTGTGCGTGTGTCCCTGCCCACAGCACCTGAGACCTCTCTGTGCCCCCAGCACCGCGCAGGCGTTTCACTGGGTCAGAGTGAGGAGCTGCAGCCGCTGAGCCAGCGCCATCCCTTCCTGCCGCATCTGGGGCTGGCCACCCACCCACATGGGGACTGGTCCCAGCCCTGCCTCACTTGTGACCGTGCAGCCCGAGGTGGGACGGCGGTTTACTTTTCTTATTTCTAGAAATGCTGCACAGCCTGTTGGGGGTGTTGTGTGCTGGGCCAGTACAGCCAACTCTCTCCCTGCCTCATTCTGGGCCTGGTGGACCCAGGGCTCCTTTCTCTCCTCTCCTAGGACCTGTGGCCTGACCATGCTCCCTGTCACATGTCACCTGCTAGAAGCTCTGCTGAAGGAGCAGTCGGGGAACTGCTATTTGGATAAGGCATGGAGTGTCCTCACATGCTGAAAATTGGAGGGAACTCTGCTGTCTGCCCAGACAAGTGTGGCAGTGGTGTGTCAGATCATGTGGCTTGTTGAACCAGAAATGTGTGTTTTAAATTACACATGCTGAACAAGCAGAAGGTCCTCGGTGCATCCTCACCAGAGGCCAGCGTCCCCATTGCAATAATATATGCCTTGCTGAGAATAAAATGAGATGGTTTGGTTTCCCAGTGATCTGCTGTCCTTCCTAAATCCCCATTACCATGGTTAACAGAGAGTTAGCTGTACTGCAATTTTAGGTCATTGTGCAAAGATACCTAATTCAATGGGTAACTAAAAATGGGCCTTCTCTTTTGACTAATTAAAAATGTATCTTGGCCAGGCTACAGCTGATACAGGTTAAACTGGAAACAGATTTTCACTGTTGTCTACCAGGAAATGTTCTCAGTATGGTCTGCCTGCAGTCCCCAGTGAGTTTAGCTGTCTTCTGCTTTTACAGAAGGGGCTTTGCTGAAGTGCTTTTGTGCACGTCCCTGATAAGGCGCTGCCTCATTCAGCCCTGGAAACAGTTGCTATTCATTCATGCCTCATTAATATTACAGCTTATTTGACTTGGTTGTTTGTGTGATCACTTATATTTAGCTCTGGGATGTTTTGCTGTGTGCCCCTAACAGTTTACACAGAATTTTGATTTATTCTAAATTGACATTAGGAAACATAACAAGGACCAGTTGTGCACTGTAAAGAATGTAAATGGTCAAAGTATGTTTGAAAACCCACCCGGAGGCACCTGCATTCATTCCTGTCTTCCCACCAGATTCTCTGGGAATATTTCTAGCAGGTTGTGAGTGTTCACAGAGCTCTGTGTTCTTTATTTTTCCCATATTCTGTCTATTTAGTGACTGGTTGAGGTCTATTTGAGTCTCCTTGGTTAGTTTTGTGTTCTCCTGGCTTCCATCTAACCTGTTGGAAATTTGCATGTTAAGTTTGAGCCTGGCAGGCCAATAGCTGTGTCCCCTCACTAGGTCCCGCTCACCTATCTCTTCTCCCACTGTGACCCAGGGAAGACATCGCCACAGTCAGCAGCCCCCTCCCCCCTTGGTCCCCACACAAGCATGCATACACACATCTGATGAATGTTTCAGGTATAAGGCTACGTGAATTTCTCTTCTCCTTCAACTGCAGTATGTATTAAAGATAATTTTCTTTGAAGGTTTCTTATGTCCCAGGTGGATTTGGGGCACATAAGTGTTTCCTGGCATCAGGTTTCGTCCTTGACCTGTTGAGTATTTGTGTTCCTCTCCACCTCTTATACTCTTCCATATGGTGATTTCTTTTCTGTTCTTTCTAAGCTCCTTACAAAGTGTTGGGTGTAAAGTAGACATTTAATACATGTACCTTGGCTGCCTTGCCTTGATCCCACTGGCTGGTTTGAGGCACATCTGTGACAGGCATACCTAGAGCCCAGGCCCTGCAGAGGAAGGCCACAGGCATGAGGCCACACTATTTGGGGAGGGGTGGGACTCAGCATGTAGCCCTGTGTAAGACAGCTGCACTCACAGGAGAGCAGCTCAGGACCAAGACCATGGTCACCTTGATGAACGCTCTCCTTCTCATAGTGTGCTGTACTTGTCCTCTCTATGCTTCCCTCACCTGCACATGGCAAAGGGGTCTGACCTTGGAAATCTTACATATTCTGCCCTGCATCTCTAATTCCATGCCTCCGTTTAATGTTAGCCTTCTGATTGGCATCCTTGCTCTTAGCCCACCTGCTCCCTCCATTTGTCCCCCAGAATTGTCTTTATAAAGGATGCTTTGGTCGAAGGCACATAACAACAGCCTTCTTAGAGCCCTCTGCCTGGTGATGCCTGCCTACAGGGCACAGCTCCTTTCAGTAGGTGTTCATAGAGTTCCTGCTGTGTGCCAGGCATTGTGCTAAGCGCAAAGCCTTAATGAGAGCCCTGCCGCACAGAGCTTGTATAGTCATGGGCATAGAGATGATAAACATAATATAAATTAAGTTTACAGCATGTTAAGTGGTGGTGTTATCAGTTGCTGTCAAGTCAGCTCTGACTCATGGCTGGCTATCCAGTGGACCAACAACACAGTGTTGCTTGGTCCTGTACCATCTTTATGATCATCGATATACTCAAGTCCCTTGCTGCTGTCACTGCGTTTTGAGTATCTGCCAACCTAGGGGGCTCATCTTCTAGTCAGACAACATTCTGTTGTGATCCATAGGGTTTTCACTGGCTAATTTTCAAAAGTAGATTTTCAGGCCTGTGTTTTTAGTCTTAGTCGGGAAGCTCTGCTGACACTTGTCCACTTATGGGTGACCCTGCTGGTATTTGAACTACTGGTAGCATAGTTTCCAGCATCACAACAACATACAAGCCACTACAGTATGACAAATTGTGGTGGTGGGTGATACGTGCTCTGGAAAGCAGAAAAACAAGAACAAGTCTGAGGAGCAGGGGGATTAGGGTCTGAGTGTGAGAGGGTGGAGCTGTGGTTGCTTGATCTGAGGCTGACTGTGGTTGGAGCAGGATTGAGTGGGAATCAGAGGATCGAGCTTTGAACTTGTCAAAGTGTCCACTGAACATCAAAGTGGAGGTGTAGACAGGGTCTTGGATGTGAGTCTAGAGCTCAGGAGAGAATTCTGGGTGGGAGATGTGAACTGAGAGCTGTTGGTGTGTCCTGTGAGGATTTTTATTTTGAAATAAGTGGAGAAACGTCCAGGTTTGTCATGCATGAGCATGTTTAGTTTATTGCAAGGTAGTCATGGCAAGGCACTCAAGTAAGACCTCAGTACATTCATTTAAACTGGAGAATCAGAATTAACCATCACAGTGTTGGCTCAGTGGTTAGAATCCAAATCTTTAGACTTCAGGAATTGATCTTTAATGAGTGGTCTCTTGAAGAATGCTTGAGTGAGGCTTATAGCCAGGGTCTTAAATCAGATGCAGTTAGCAATATCTTAGTCTTCAGAGAGAGAGAGAGAGAGTCTGAGAGACCTTTTTGCTCCTTCCTTCTCTTGGTGAATGTGCCAAATTCTAGGGTTTATGTGTGATTTTTTTCACTTTGACTTTACACAGTAAAGGCCAGGCCATGCTTAATCAAGGTTAGTTTGTTACATCTTTTTTCAAGATCAGCCAGATAGTGCAGTGTTGCATCTTTCTTCAAGATTAGAGATTGAGGAGCTTGTTTATGACTGCACTTAGGTCTCAATGTCAGTTTACAGAAACTTAACTGTATGTTATATTTTCTTTATCACAACATGCAGGTACATGGCTATTTTAGAGCAATGTTTACTAGATGCTTCACATACTTCTTTGTTTCTATTTCTGAAATCGCATTGTAAGTGACTTACACATACGTGGTTTGAGAGCAATAAAAACATACATAGCACAGTGTATGGGTGGAGTTTACAGCTTCCAGCTCTTTGTCCTCATGTGGGCTTTCACACTTCCTTCACTGTGTCTGATTCCTGATGCACCAGGCCACCCTCCCCATGTGAGGCGGACTCTTTGGCTTCCCTGTTTCAGTTGCCTTCACATGGATCCTGGCACATAAGTGTGCTAAGAGTCATTTGTAGCCTGAAGTTGTACCAAGAGGAACCCTTTTGGCTTTACCCAGGTTTACACAGTGGTGGCAGCCAGTTGTCCTCTCTGTGTTGCCCCCACCTGCACATGGCAAGATGCAAGCAGCCCACCTGTCACCCCTATCCTGAGCTCTCTTATGTGCAGGGCTGATCACAGCAACCAGCAGCCTGTGGAGAAATTTCAGATGTTCTTGGAATGGCAGGACCCACATCAGAGGCAGCTGATGGACTAGGAGTGTTGTTCCTGTGAGTCAGGCAGAAACTTGTGGATGTGTATCCTGGAAAGCCTATTGCTGCTGTTCTAGGAGTGCCTCTAGTTCTGGTTGACCTCTGTAAGAGCTGGTGAGGAGAGGGAGAAGGGCAGCTCCCTCTGCTGACTGACCTCCAAGTCACAATTTCCAGAAGTGACACCCGAGGTAGTGCTGTGTTGGTGCACCAAGAACACGTCATCCTGTGCTGCACCCTGGAACTCTTGGTGGGAGTGCAACTGCTAACATTCCTTTATTTTGAAGAAGAAGAAGAAAAGAAGGTAGGAAAGGGAGGAAGGGAGGGAGGAGGGAAGGGCAGGCAGACAGGCTGGCCGGCCATCCTAATCATCCTCTTAATGCTTAGGTGGATCAGACCCAATCTGAAGGCCAGCAGTGGTAGGCTGAGCATGGCAGGTTCTATAGATCAAGGTACCTGCCAGGGCCAGGTCCTCACTCCTGATGGCCTCTTGTCTTAGGAACCCCTCCTCCTCCACATTCTGGCTAGGGCAAAGCAGCCCTCTGGGTTGTGGCTTCAGGCCTGCTGCTGGAGGGGTTTCTAAAATTCCTTCCAGTTGGCTTCTCCTTTTGGCTGGAAGCTCCTAGGTGTGGAGGCTGTCACTCCTTAACGACCACCCCTGCAATGATTTACCAAGTGCTTACTGGAGAGTACAACATTTCATTTATTTGCCCCATTTTGTTCTAGAAAGGATTTGAGATGGTTTAGAAAACACATGCAGTACCACAGGATTAAATAAATACTCAAAAAAATTGGAGTGAAAGGAAAATAAGAGTTAAGCAAATCAAATCATGCCATGGTAAGGAAGTCATATACAACTCTTAGAAGTGGAACGTCTTAGCCACTAAAGCCAGAGAGAAATCCTGGTTGGTTTCTGAACAAGAGTCTAGGATCCAAGTAGGGGT